GTATTAGCAGAAAGGGAAGACGTAGACTTACTAGAGCTCCTTTAGGACGTAGTTGCAGGCTACCACGATTCCTGAGATTGTGGCTCCGCACAGCATTCCGACGACAGGTACTTAATAGTGATATATACGTCAGTCATGTACTCGGACGGAATGCGGAGCGAACGCACTGTACTGCTCTGGCTTCCAGAATGGATCCACAGCCATGGCGTAGCGGATACCAATCATGGAGATGGGAATGGTGGAGCAAAGCATGCCAAAAAGCACTGAAGGGAACTAAACAAGTGTATGAGTATGAACGAAGAGTCTTGGGTTCTGAACAAACGCGCACCATGTGTTGAAACCTCCGCTTCGCCTTGTTCACAACTATAGACAATGATCAGAGACATCTCAAAGGAGTAGGGCTTCAGCACGCACCAGTTTCAATCGTTCCCATTAGGTTCAGCAGGACTGCCAAGAACCGGTGTGAGATCAACAAATGTCCCAGCTAGTATGTCCAGATATTTACAAGCAATTCCGGCAACAGCCCATGGATTCTTCGCCTCAAAGACCTTTTGCAGCACGAGTGATACGAGCGTGAGCTGTACGACACACCGCACAGCGGCAGTTACTAGAGACGTCCCGACCCCGAGCTGGAACACCCGCGACACGACCGCATTGAACGCGATGAAGCTGAACGCAAGACCGACGTTCTCCCATGTCAAGTCTGCAGTGCGCCCGTCGTCGCCTGGAGCGTCCATGTTTGAAGCAAATCGCACGAGGTGGATATAAGAGAGAGATGCACGCGTCCCATTCGGGAATCCAGTGGCTGGCCGGGTCAAAATTACACAAAAATCGCAGGATAGTATTAGACGCCTGTCTGTGGACCACACCACAAAGATGGACGCATGAGCCCTCGACTGTTCGATGAATGTCAGTATTGACACTGGCTAGCTGCAAGTTATGCACTGAAACATGCATACGCAGTCCTTCTGCTCTGTGAAACATGCGCTTGTAGTCCAGCCAGTGGTAGGTTCGTATACTTAGATATGGAGCCCAAACAGCGCAGCAGCAGCGACCAAGGCGTGCGAGCCCGCAGGTCTAATTGGAACCGTGAGGTCATGAATATTTTATTCGCTACGGTCCTAGATAGGTAGGCTGGGTCGTAGCGCAGCGTTGCTAAGCCATGGCTCATCTGAGCGACACGCTGCTCAACAGCGAGCAAGGTCGCGCGTTTGTCAAAGGCTGACGCTAAAAAGACTCTTCATCGACACCCCGTTCCACCCCGATGTCTGCTCCGCTTTCGAGCTATGAACCTCCGCCCTCGACTCGAAAGTATGCATCTCGGTGTAGATTTCCCTGCACTTCGCGATGAGGTCCTCGGAGCTGATGCCATGCTCGACCCAGGGCGGCATGGACGCACACCATCGTTTCCATCTAATGTTGCACGTCCAGAAGTCAGAAGGCAGTTAGCCAGTGGGTTTGTGGGAAAGACACTTACACGCCGCGTATGTGCTTGTTCGGTTCCGTGGTCCCCAGCGCGAGCATGTTCGGCACTGCGGGCATTGCGCTCCCGGCGCCGCGCGCACAAGCATCCCCCGCACCATGAGGACGTCCCTGGCGATGGTGATTCACTGTCCGTCATAGGTGTCCGGCGAGCGCATGATGACACAAGCTACGCGTCCAATGTCGGCGGCGACCTAGGACCAAGCAGTGTGAGATATAATGGTAGTAGGAAGGAGATCTGAGAACGCACAACAAGCTGCAACTTCGTGTCCTTCTTCAAGCCAGAACGCACCACTGAGAAAGTGACGCGGCCGACGAGACCTTCAAACATTTCGATGAAATATACTGGGCAGATGATTCTGGGTCTAGCGATGAGATGCAGAGGGTTGCATGAAATCACACGACGCACGTCCAGCTCAGGCCCTGCTTCGACTTGATATTCTTCTCGATATTGACTTTGGCGAGGTGGCTCAGCGTTGCATGCTCGTCGCGGCTGTCGCGGGCGTGGTCGGAAGAGGAGCAGAGGAAGTGCTGCACGTTGTACTCGCACGCCAGGTTCGTGACCAACTGACGCGGTGCTGTTCAGACATACGACTCCGCACAAATGTCATGCACGCGGCGCACCTTGCCTTGAACCTCCTCTCCAGACCCGTCCACACCGAGTCCGGGGAGTGCCAGCACCATGAAAACTCCCCAGGTCCCGCCCTCTGACTTCGCCCTCTCGTCTTCGAAGACCTTCCGTACGGTGTTCGCGTTATTCAGGTTCGCTGAGGCGCTGCTGACGTGGTCACTCAGGGGCGCGAGCTCTCGAACGGACGGAGAACTGGCGTTGTGTGTGAGCGCAACGAAGTGGAAACCATTCTCGAGCGCACCTTCAGCCTTGGGAGCTTCGGTAGCAGCGCGAGCAAATGTGCCGCCTTGCCTGTCTGTAGCGCCAACGACTAAGATCTTGCGAGAGGCCATGGAGGGGCTGAGAGAGCCATATTGTCTCCGAAAGTTGCCCAGCAAATGACCTCTGTGAGACTCGCGATGGGGCCTGTGCAAATGCTTGATGCGTGAGATCCAGGGTCGCTGTAGGCACGCACAACTTTCCATCACGGGAAAGACAGCTGTTTGACGCGTAAGACATCCGACCAGAGTGATTGCAACGAACTCGACACTTTCCTGGAAAAACACGGTGCGAACCTCGAGCTGCTCACGTTTGCAATGTCGCCTCGCAGGATATCTCCTAAGCAAACGAATGAGCATTCCATATTATGTTCGTGAGTGACCTATTGACCGTACTACGCTGTTTAGTCGACTCTCTGAAGAGATACCACAAGCCCCGCCCACTGATGCTCACGACGCCCCATCACAGTGCATGGGCATTCACATAAGACCTCTTCCACTTGCTGCCTCCAGAATTCTGCGAGATTTGCCTGCACCTGCACCGACATTGCCGACTACGAGAGGGACAAACCTGACATGTCGGCGTTCGACTGCGCAGAACTTGAAGAGCACCTCACGCAGTGCAAAGGCCTCGCAGCGCTCAACGTCGACATGATATCGGTGGAGGAAAATTACCACTGATCTGTCCCGCGCGACGCATAAGACAAGATCCGTGCGCAGCTGTCACCGCGGCCACCATGCTTCCGGGGGCATCTCGTACACTTCGACGTCGGTGATCGCAGGAAAGGAACGAGGAGCCGCGACGGCTTCGAGTCAGAAGGTTCACTGAAGGAGACCATCTTCGGCGCGGCGACGACGGCGAACTCGGGGTTGAGCTGCTGAGAAGCACGGATACATCTGCAAAACATGTAAGTATATCCGCCAGCATTACAGAATGTGCGTTTGAGATGACGTGCCCGGGAGATGTGCAAGCAATCCACGGACAAGGCGTATTCCAAGTCCTGGTGTGCTGGCCAGTAGCGTGCAAACGCTGTCGTGCCTGGCATGGGCGGCGCTGTGGCGGGATGTCCGGTCGAAGTTTACTGAGAGATACCGCTTGAGGTTTGTGTGTGCCTCGAGCCAGCGCTGTTATGGATGGTACGCTCGACGGCGCATGCGGGGGTAGCAAAATTTAAACGGAATTGACATCCTTGCGCTTCAGCAGAGACGCATCGCTGGCGTTTAGGTCTAGGCACCCGGCGTTCCGCCCCTTCCACATCTGGAGTATGGCGGGGGACGGGTCCTGGCCAATGAGCAGGCGCCGCGGAACCAAAACGGAGATCGGAGGCTGTTTACCGGGAAAGTCAGAAATTTGATGGGAGAGGTCGCGCAGGAGCGCGTGAACATTTGAACCTCTCGGACAAGTTTCGCTTGGGGCGGCGCACGGAGGGTGTTGCCCTGGCTGTGATGTCGTCTGCCCAGCCGGTTTCGAATTCGCTTTCTCTTGCGACGCGACGACGACGACTCAAGCTCAAGCTCAAGAACGACACTCGCTTTCTGCTGGGCCCTTCGTCTCGCTTTGCCTCCCGCCGCGCCTGTGTCTCAGACCGACGACGGCTCACGACGCGCAGTTTTTTTTCCCTTTCACACGACACCGAAGCGAACAGGGCTCTGCGACGACGATCCTGCGTTGCTCTCGTCATTCCACGCGGTGACGGCACAGTAAGCGGTTGCCTTCGGTGCGTTTCGCCTTTGCCCGGCCGCCATCTTTCTTCCCTTGTTGATTGGACCCATCGCCCCAAATCCTCGAGCTTTCCCCTCTCCTTTGCCTTTTTGCTTCCGCCTCCATCTTCCTCGTTTGCCTCGTCCGCGGCGCAACGCTGCTTCGTCTCTTTCTATAATCTTTATTCTGCAGTCGTACTGCAGACCGCCGCTGACGCTGCGCTCCCATAGAGTCGGCCCTTTTGTCCAAGCTCTCAAGTCATCTTCTTTCAACGTCCAAGTCGGGTACGTACCTCGTCCTCCTGCCTCGTGTCCTCCCTTTTCCATTCTTCACACCAAACTGTTACAACGAGCGCCCACTTGGCGTCGGAGACAATTACCGTGCAAGCTCCATGTTCCGACACAGCACGTCCGGATCGACGTGGGCCCCTGTGTACAGCCATGTACGACCATGTAACACCAACCTTGCGTCCGCACACACGATTACGTTCAGGAGCCCGTACACGTGTCCCGAGCGCATCGGAAGACCCTGGGCTATTGCTGGTTTGCCTCGTTCTTAACACAGGCCGTGTGTTTCGCTATCTGACCATGTCGATACTCCCATTCTTGTTGTGCGCTTAGCATTATTAGGGGCAATACCGATCTGACTACTCTCGCACGCAGACGCTCGCTTTGTTCGGTTTTCGTTTAGAAAGTATCGGTAAGTCTGGTCTGTCGAGGTTTCTTTCAACTTGTTTCTCTCCTCTTGCATGCTTTCGTCTCTCACTACGTCTCGCCGTGGACGTTACAAAACCCCTACACGTACGAATAGACTGCGGCTGTGGCAGCCCGGCTCGAACGCTGTCCGTTGCACGCGTGGACGGCGTGGGGGAATTCAGCTGGCGAAACACGTACACCATTCTCCCTACGGAGAAAAGACCCGATATTCCCATCGCACGTCCTTTGCGCAGCTGTCATCAGGTTGACAGCTGCCTCGCTGGCGCTTTGTCATACTCGGTACCGCCGCGGGAAGCCTGGTTCTCCGTTGGTCGCTCCGGTGGCGGCATCTTCTGGCTAAGCGGCCTCTTTCTTACCTTCTTACTTTTTTTCCCCTGTTCTTTTGCGCTTAGTTTCGCACTTTTCTGAGGACGGTCTCACATATGTTCTCCTCAGGTTGCCCTTCTTCGGTGTTCGACACCTCCACTCAATCCAGCGACGTTCACCTGCACACATTTCTCTCTCGTGGTTTCCCTTTAACAGCGAACTACATCCGACATAATTCACGGACAAGTGAAACGGTCCTTGCAAGATACTTCCACTCAACGTGCACATAATAAATCGAAGACGTGCTACTACTTCCGTGTTAATTACATCCAAAAGTTATTGTGTAATATTTCTTTAAAGGTGCGTTCTGATATTTATACTTCGGATACGGTGGTATTGACAAGAACGACAGCTGTCTTTATACAACTGGTGTATCGTTCGGCGCCCCCCGCGCTACTCCATCTCAGCAATTCCGCACCTCGACGCACAGCGTTATCCACCTTACAACTAGAAGCAACGATGCTACTCAAGCTCATTCCACCAAACCCACTCCCCACTGTGCTGTTCACGCTCGCCTATCCGGCTCCGCCCTCGAATCTCCCACTTCCCGCGAGCTACGCCGCGCTCCTCAAACTCGTTGTAGAAGAGAGTCTTCTCGACGCAGATCATAACATCTTTGAACGTATTGACGGTCCACTTCCACTCGGACGTCATGCCGGCCTGAGCCCCACATTGTCCCGCGTCGGGGGTGGAGGCAGTGGCGGCGTTAACAACGGGCAGGGCAGCCTTACACCGCACGCGCTTGATAAGGCGACGTGGATCGCGGCCGTGCTGAACGAGGTCGTATTCGACCTCTCGGATGGCGCCTTCATCGGCGAGGGGTCCGCACCCATCGAGCAACGCACCGACCCTTTCGAGGACGCTGCGCCGCGCAGGGTGCGCGTGCTCTGCCGGTATGTCGACGGAGCCGAAGTGAGCTGGGAATGGAACGCGACGCCCGACGCCGAGAACGACGCAGATGGTGAGGCCGCCGCGTGCTTCGCCGCACTCCAGAGCGTGCTGCACGATGTCAGTGAGAGCGCTACGGCCAGCGAGCGCGAGCGGCGGGAACGCAAGAAGAGGCATACCTATTACGAACGCTTTGCATTCGTGGAGGCGCACCCACACCAAGGCGTATATGGGGCGTTGGAGCAGCGCGGTCGGCACCCGATCCCGCAAGGCACGGAGGAAGAAGGCACGATGGAGGGGAAGCAGCATAGCGCCGGGTTTATGCCGGTGCAGCAAGGCTATGGTTCTGAAGAGGCGAGGGATCACGGGCGTGCAGGACCGAGGAGCTTTGACGAGGAGCTCGACTTTGGTCGTGGTGCTGAGGCGCACGTGTCCGGGCGTGTTGAGACGCGGAGGGGAAAGGGAAAGAAAGGTCGGAAGAGTGTGAGGGGTGGCGGCAATAGCAAGCACGAGGAAACGGGGAAGGAAGACGTTGAGGAGGGGAAGGATGGTATGAAGGAGAAGGGGAAGCATAAGAAGCAGCGGAGCTTGCTTATGTCGCTCGTCGCATTCGCGTGAGTGATACTCTCGCTCTTGTGCCAGAAGGTTGCTAATGTCCGTATTATAGCTCCTCGATCTCACCGCGCAGCATCCGCTCGCGCTCACCTTCGCCGTCGCCGTCACCGCCCGCCGAGCTAGAGTCGTCAACGTCACACGCTGTCCCTACTAGCCGCTCTCCGTCACCGAAGCCGCCGCATGTCGTACATCCTCATCTTGTGTTCACTCCATACCAGGATCCACCGTTGAGCAGCAGCGACCTCTGCCGGCGCGCACGCGCAACACTTGTGGATGTCTTTCGGCGATACGTCATCGCGAAGCTCAAGACTCCGCAGGCTCTTCCGTCACGCGTGTTGCGTCGCGTACTCAGTGTTGACAGCGGTAACGCGGACGCTGGCAGACGGCTGCGTAGTGTCGGCAGTGCGCTCACGACGCGCAGCAGCGACTTCAGCTTAAGCGAGGCGAGCATGCACGTTCACTCCGTCTCGCGCAGTCCAAGCGTCAGCGTCCTGCGTGCATCCGATATCCTATGCGGCATCGACGCCGAGTTGCTTCACCAACGGCTTGTGAGCGGATACAGCGATGAGGACGACGAGGACGAGCTCGCCTTTGGAAGCGCGAACGAGGGCGAATATGTCACCTGGGTCACGCGCTCTCTGCTCACCCGCCTTGAGGCTGAGATGCGCGAGATGAGCGTCATTCTGCGTAGCATGCGCGTACCCGCACCGCCGCCACGCATCTCGAGCATCAGCAATAGCCTCAGCGCGCGCATGGGCCTGTCGCCCATCGACGGGCCCCCGCTCTCGAATGCGGGCGCATTCCAGCCGATCTCGGGCTTCTCGGACGACGTTGGCGAGTGGGGAGTGGCTGCGGGGGCGACGTTGATCGACGAGTCTCCGCCCTTCTTCGATAGCTATGACGAAGAAGAGATGGAGAATGTCCCGCTTACAGAGGAGAGCATTACCGAGGACGAAGATCACACAAGCATGTCCGCGAGCAGCAGCAGCGGGACTACCGAGACAGACAACAGCAGCGTGCACACTCCCTCTTCCGAGACGACAAACTTCGACCAGGCGTGCATTCGTAGCCCTGGCACGCCGCCTCTTGCAGAGCACGATCGGGGGGATTACTTCGTCGGTGTCCAGGATCAGAGCACAGAGTTCGAAGCGCAGCAGCAGCCCGGGAGCTCGCCACCGCGCCGGCCTGTTCTGAAGAAGCAGCCGCCAATTCTAGCTACCAAGGAGACCGAATTTCTACCCCCTCTACTGGACGAGCTTGCACGGCCGGCGTGTCGCCCCGCGCTTTCACCGCTGTTGACGGTCTCGCCGCCGCGATCGGTCTCGCTCCCGCCGAGCTCTACATTCACGTCACCTGAAGGTTCGCTCAGCTCAGCCTCGGCATTGCCGGCCGCAGCCTACGCCGCGCTCTCCGGAGAGCGGGAACGGCTGCTTGGGATCCTCAACAGACTCGCCAACCAGCACAACGTCGCACAGCAGGACGAGAAGCAGCTGCTGAACGACCTCGAGGCCAAGAGCCGCCGACGTGCATGGAGCAACCGAGCTTTCGTAGGCGGCGCTACTGTGCGCCTTTGCGGACTTGCGATGCCTGAGCGGCACAGCCCACTTGTGACCGCGAAGCCAATCACTCCGGGCGACCTTGAGGCTGAGGCGAAGGCTTATGCATGTGCGCAGCTTGAGGGCGTCGGGGGTGTGAAGAAGAAGAGAGGAAGTTTGGTCGCCACAACAGCAGAAAGCAATATTATGCGGTTGTTTCCCGTCTGTGAGGAAGACGAAGATGGCAGTGATGAGGAAGGAGACCAGAGCTTTCTCGTCACCAGTCCGCTCTCGGACAGCTCGTTCGCTATCGGCGCGTTCCCCACCAGTCCGACCATTGCCAGCTCGTTCGCCGCCAGCGGCGCTGCCGCGCGGGAAGAGGAAGAAGAAGAACCGGCTGGAGAAGATGGTCCTCTTCGGCCTCTGGATCCTCCAGCCTCACCCGGAAGCGGACCGTCCGACGACGAGATGCTGACGTTGAGCGACGCTGAAGACGATCTCCTGGGATTCGCGCCCCTCATGCGCCATTCGAGCCGGCACACCTCGGTGCCCGTGCGTCCGCGGCCACGGACGCGGTGCATGAGTATGAGCTCTGTCGCCGCGTCAAGCGGCGAACCGCTTCTGTCTGTACCCGTAGGCGCGTTGCACGCCGGCTTCCCCACGCTCGCACGCGCATCGCTACTGCCCGTGCCGGGCGTGCCGTACATGATGCACGAGAGCAGTGCGTCGACCGCGGATCTGCTGCGCGCCGCTGTAGACGCGGACACGGAGAAGATGGAGTTCGGAGTGCTGGAGCCGCAGACAAAGGTCGAGCTGTTTGACGTGTACTCGGGCGACGAGGAGGACGAAGAAGACGATCGCTGCACGGACGGCAAGGAGAACGAGGACGCGTTCGTGCTTGGCGTGGACGTCGCGGGCCGGGCGGAGCTCTCGGCGTTTTGTGCGGCGCACCAACAACCTACGAGCGCAGACGGCATACGGGTGCTTGCAGCGCATCTTTAACATGAGCGACACGCTTTTTTCAAGTTTCCTTGGGATTTCTGGCTCGGACTATCATCAACACGATTCAGGAGAAACAGGCTGGTTTATGCAACGAAAGAAACACAAGACTCAGACATTCCCAGTGCAACAATTACTCATCGCACATGCATCTCTTCAAGTGCCATCCGGATCTCATTCTCGTCCTTTTTTCCTATTACGATATTCTCATTTACTTGAGCCTAGGAACGACCGTCTGTGCGATCTCTTCTTCTGCTCGCATTTCTGCACATATACGGCTCTCGATGACACTCCATCTACGATCTCTTTTTTCACGGACATTCTGACCTGTCGATGACGCACCACGCCCACCTCCGTCTAATTTCACGATGACTTCACGCGTCTCTGGCGCACAGTCGGTCTTTGTTTTACCACGCGCAAATCCTGCCATGATCTACGTTAATCTTCGTGTATATACGAATACTTGCTCTCGTCCTTCTCTGTTCCCTGCACCGTACGGCCCAGAGCACGACAAGTTCCTGACAATAGTAGTAATAGTGTACCTGTGCATGCACAAAATTAGATCTTTTACTGGCTAAAATTGTGAGTGCCAGTGAACTGGTAGGGTCTGAAAATTGATCATGGTGACCTCAAAGATCGCATGCGCAGATCGGCGGTCGGGCTGAGTGGGACGGTAAGGCAGAGGACACAGGCGGCGTCCTATCCTGTATATTGATTTCCGTAGTCTTCGTAAAAATTCCAGCCTCGTGCGCCCGCCGCTGTTCCAATTTCGCCACCGCACCCAGGGGGAGGGGGCATCATCGCTTAGCGCTGAAAGCAAGCGTCTAGTCACGTTCAGGACCTCTGGAAGCGCGGTGCACGTTCCACCGACGGCAAGCCGCACTCTATGCTACCCTCTCGCCGTCTCTTCCTGGTGTCAGCAATACATGTCTGTCAATCCTCATTTCTTGTAATCATTCAGCTCGAGAAGAATGATATTGCCTTTTGAATCTATTATGACTTCAAAGAGCAAGTGCATCGTGTGAACTTTGAAACTTACGGCAAAGCGGCAAGGCCATCGGGCTCAGACAGACTGTCATATCAAACAACTCTTACTCACTGGAACAGCATCGAAACACACAAGGCTGTCGCAAAAACACTGCATCCCGGCAGATGAAGAGTCTTTTATGGATATGCAGAAGAAGTCGTTCAGAGGTAGACACATAATATACCTGATAGCAGCACAGTTGAAGAGGTTAGCAAGCAACTGGTGGTAAAACAAGGGAAGAGAGAGTCGACCGTAGTGAGAGAACCAAAGCGGAAGACCGCACGTTTGGGGCAGATAACGCACTTATCTAATCCATTTATATGTTATCAAAGTCTCGGGGTCTCAGGCGCTTGACAACGAGGTTGTTTTCAGCGCTTGGCACTGATGTATATTCCAGATTGGGCAAAGCGTGTCCGAGTCAGCGACAAGTCCATGAAGCCAGCCGTCTACTAAGCCTGCATTAATGGGCCTGGGACTCTCATTGTCGAACAGGTGAGGCTCAAGGCCTAGCTGGCGAGTTAACATTTACAACGTCATTATGCATCCAGGGTCGTCCTAATCGTGACAGGCACGTGGAGGGGGCACGACAGCCGGACAGCACCGCCGCCCTCGCAGCCTTTCTGTCCTTGTCCTCGACGCACTCGTTCTGAGAATCTCAAAGCAGTTTGCTTGTCGAGGTATATCAACGTATGGACCTCAGGGTAGTATATGGGTCTGATTGAACTTGTTTCTTACTAGATGACTTCGAACGTCTCCGTAGTCGCACATCGGATACCGCAGGAGTTGTTCAAAACGATTATAAAGCACTTGATACCTCGAGAACTGGAGAATCCACTCTTGCTTTCCCTCGCGTCGGACCAGGACCACGTAGAGCGCAAGAAGCAGCTAAAGCATGAACTTGGGCAATGCTCCCTCGTTTGTCATTTCTGGGCGATGCACTGCCGTCCTCCCCTGTTCAGGTACATCGAGCTTCGGGCAGCTGAGGACGTCCATCGTTTGTTTGAATTTGCGAATACGATCACTCTGG